GTTTTGATATATTTACGGTAGGAAATTTACAAAATATCTTCATGGAACATGATCTTTACTTAATATCCTAATGATTTTTGGCATAAAAGAAAAATCTATAATTTTGACCCATACAATGTATTGTTGGCTATTGCTACAAATATACCCCAGCGACTTAAGACTGATTTTGTGCTCCAGGGACACATATTCTGCAATATGAGTAGTTCAGCCAGAAGTGAACGTGCTGAAAATATCCTCACTCTCAGTTCATCCCAGATCAGGATGAGTGTGTTTCTTCATCAGGTTTGTAGAAATGTAGCATTGCATCAGTGTCTCAGCAATGGATGCTCTGCAGTGAATGGGTGCCGTCAGAATTAGAGTCCAAACAGCTGATAAAAACATCACAATAATCCACAAGTAATCCACAGCACTCCAGTCCATCAGTTAACATCTGGAGAAGACAAAAGCTGAAACAAATCCAGCACTAAGACCTTTTTAACTCATAATCCATAATAACGCTTCCTCCAGTGAAAAAGTGTTCTGGTGTGAATCAGGAGGGAAATCTGCACAGATCAAGCAGCGTTTAAACAGCTCTAAACACATATGAGAGACAACAGCAGATGCACTTTTCACTGGAGGCAGCGGAGGAAGGAACAGGATTTGAAAATGGTTTTCTGCATTGAGCCTGACACACACACGGTCTCTCCTGCTCTCACAGGTATCTGCTCCAGGTGTTCACCAAGCCTATTTTCGGAGAGGACACCTTCTTTCTGGAGCTGATCGAGCGCAGAGGCGCCACAGGCTTCGGCGAGGGGAACATCCGTGCGCTCTGGAGATCCGTGCAGGCCTACATGGAGAACGCAGAGCGTCACGAGACGGAGCGCGAAAACAAGCAGAGCACACCGAGCTGACATCAGCAACAACACTGACAGAGACTGTGATCTATATATATAAACACATGAGGACGACTCGGCTTTAGATTCAGTGACTGCAGTGCGATTGAGAACTGGTTTGAGTCTGTCCTCTGTTCAGGATTAGATGTTGGACTGTAAGAGTCTTCAGGGCACTTCTAATGCACATGGTGTATTATTCAGTGATGTCTAAACCTGTACTGTAATACATTGTACTGTATTTTCACTCGAAAACATTTAATTTTGACAATATAGCGGTACTGTTGACCTGTGTGTTTCTGTCAGATAAATCAACATTATGATGCCGATCTGTTCTTTTTGTCTCCTCACATGTGATCATGTTTAATTGCCATTAGGACCAGTTTGAGGTGTTTGAAACCCACATACAAAACCACTGCTAGAGAAAATCTAAACCTACGGAGTGTGACAACTAGCCCCGCTCTGACAGTGTGCTGTAACTCTAGCTGTATAAGCCGCCATCAGTCTGTTTTTCACTGACAGCTGGTTTACTTAAAGCAGACACACAATGCTTGAGTTCACTTCACATTTAAACGTGTCTGTCATGCTGCATTAGTTTCTCTTCACCAATATTTCTTCTCAGTCTCTTCTGTACGTTGGCTCTGATCTTCACCTGCAGCAGTTTCCAGATGTTCCTGTAGATGGAGTCAGATCTCGGCAGCTCAGATCAGTTTCCGGTCCTTCAGGGATGTTTTTCCACAACAAACCCAAACCCAGTAACACCAAAGACTAGAATACCTTAAAGCGTAAGTGTGGAACTTTCCAAAAACTCAACTCAGTCAGCTTCATTATCAGCCTTCGACCCTCCAAACAACAGTGGAACCTACATAATGAGCAGCATTTCCCCTTTTATTCAACACGTTTGTGTGTTTTATTCTATTCAGATCTTTCTTTGGGCTATTAGAGATGATTTATCAATAAGGAAGACTATTTAGACACCAGATTCTGAGTATTCTGTCCATAAACCTGTGATCAGGACTGGACATAATTAATTATCATAAAAGCCAATGAGTGTCAGAATTAATTTATCACACTGCAGGACCAGTGAAATTGAGTTTTACCAGTTATAAGACCCACTATGCATCCATATATCAATATCTGTTCATGTTGATTAAAGAGTCAGAGTATATTGTATGTGTCTACTAGCAATTTATTAAAGGACCATGCTGTTTTCCCTTCTTTCATTAGACAGATGTTGTAGTTTTAGTGTGAACTCATTGAATTAATTGAGCAGTTTATCATAGATGAACTGAACTTGTGTTTGTGTTGTGATGCGTTGTATTGTGTGCGGTGTTGGGCGAGTCCATTCAGTCGCGGGGGTGACGCCGCTTCATTTCAAACTGAAGTATTCATCAGAAACGCCTGTATCGTCGTCAGGATTCATAACTGGTGTTTTAAATGAGTTTGTATTTTGTTTTCGCTCAGTTGAAGGTGTTTAGAGTGCGTGTTGTGAGTGTTTTGTGCTGAATGTGGGTTCCGTGTCCCCCCGCGGCTGCCGCTGTGTGTGACCGGGAGCAGCCGCGAGATGAGCGGGGATGAAGATGATCTGAACGGCCGTGTTTACCGATCCGTCCCGCGCGAGGAGACGCGCCGCTCGCTGGCCCGTGAGTATACAGTCAGAACACGGATCAAACCGCAGTATATTTCGTTACAGTAACGCGGGCTCGCGTGCGTCGCTGTGCGTGAGTGAGAGAGTTTCCCGCGACGCTCGCGGAGTTTAGTAGCTTTTGTTACCGTGGCGCGGAGGAACGCTCACATGGACACCGAATTAAAGTCGCTCAGAAACGCCAACGCGCGGTGATCGTTACAAGTAAACGTTCCAACACGCGATCAAAGTTAAAGCAGAAAGTCTGTTCAACTGGAACTGGGAACTGAAAACTCTCAATAAACTTCCGACACGAGCTGAAAACTACTTGCTGATGAGTTATTCCATGTTTTTAGAGTAATTTAGTATTTTAGGAGTATTCTGTCTTTCTAAAGTACGTAGTATATTCAGTATGCAGTAATTTGGAGTATGCTTTATTTTAGGGTGTATTTTAAGAGTGTAGTATTTTTAGTATGACGTATTTTAAGAATATCCAGTCATTTAGAATACTTAGTATTTTAGGAGTATTCAGTATTTTAAGATTAGGCCTATGCAGTATTTTTTTTGAGTATTCAATATTCTAGAGTGTATTTTAGAGTATGCTGCGTTTTAGAATACTCAGTATTTTAAGAATATTTAGTATTTTATAGCACTCAGTATTTTACAGTGCTCCGTATTTCAGGAGTATTCAGTAATTTTAGCGTTTTCAGTATTGAGTGTATTTGAGTATGCTGTATTTTTGGTTATTCCGCATTTTAAGACTGCAGGGTTTTTTGAGTATTCAGTATTTTAAGAGTATGTAGTATTTTAGCATATTCTATATTTTTAGAGTACTCAGTGTTTTAACATTCAGTATTTTAAGAGTATTCAGTGTTTTTGAGTACCAAGTATTTGAAGAGTATCTGTATTTTAAGAGTATTTAGTATTTTAGAGTATTCGTTATTTTACAAGTATTCAGCATTAACAGCACGCAGTATTTTAAGAGTATTTAGGATTTTAGAGTATTTGTTATTTTACAAGTATTCAGCATTAACAGCACGCAGTATTTTAAGAGTATTTAGGATTTTAGAGTATTTGTTATTTTACAAGTATTCAGCATTAACAGCACGCAGTATTTTAAGAGTATTTAGGATTTTAGAGTATTTGTTATTTTACAAGTATTCAGCATTAACAGCACGCAGTATTTTAAGAGTATTTAGGATTTTAGAGTATTTGTTATTTTACAAGTATTCAGCATTAACAGCACGCAGTATTTTAAGAGTATTTAGTATTTTATAGCACTCAGTATTTCAGGAGTAATCAGTAATTTTAGAGTTTTCGTTATCGTCGAGTAATACTTATTTTAGAGTGTATTTGAGTATGCCGTATTTTTGGATATTCAGTATTTTAGACAGCATTTTAAGACTTTGCTATGCAGGGTTTTTTGAGTATTCAGTATTTTAAGAGTAAGTGGTATTTTAGCGTTTTCGGTATTTTTAGAGTACTCTGTGTTTTAACATTCAGTATTTTAAGAGCATTGAGTATTTTCAGAGTATTTAGTATTTTAGAATATGCAGTATTTTAGAGTATTCTCTATAATTGAAGGGTTGCGTGTGTTTTAATATTGTAGTATTGTATATTGTGTTGAGTACTATTAGAGGTAACTTGAGTACCGAGTGATGATGTGTGAACTAAAGCAGCAGCAGAGTCTAATCAGAATAAGAGCAGCTCTAGAGTTTCTAGCAGATTGTGTTTATCTAGTTATCAGCACAATACCAGCTCGTTAGCTGTGATCAGGCCGTATGCAAATAAAGGATTTTCACTTCTCGCTGATCAGCAGATGGGAAACCCAGTCTCTGCCCAGGTGTCTGAAGAATCATGCGCCGCCGCTTGTTTTGCAGTGAGCTGCTGCGTGTGATGCAGTGAAGTGTTGCGACATGCAACACAATCTGTTCCTGGGGAAGCCAGTTTTTCCTCCAGTCGCTGGTATGAATGTGTTTGTTTCTCACCTCCAGCCGTCATTTTCCGCTGAACTGTGCAGCGCCTGCAGTGTGTTTCACGGTGACTCTGTTCTCACCAGAGCGGTCAGATGAGGTTCAGCTTATTGAAAAGTGTTGACTGGCTGTGTTTACAGAGCCGTGTTTGTGTACTCGAGAAGCAGAGCAACATTTCCCAGGGCTAATTCATTTCCTACTGAAGGGAATTGTTTCGGTTAATGTTTGTAGTGAATAGCTGGGTGTATCTGGGTGATAGATGTCATATTGTCATTGTTAGACATCAGACAGAGAATGCAGAACAGGTTTGACTGTTCCTTTGAAATAAAAGAGGCTGATTTTGACATTTACTTAACCGAAGGTGTGCACATTTAGACACTTGTGTTTAAATCCCTTCATTTATGCTTGTGTATCTGTGCGTTCGTCTCGGATAGATCTGCGCTGAGTGACGTGACGCTGATCGCTGTCTTGAGTTTGATCAGCAGAAAGGCCTTTGGACTTCAGGCCTCCGATTGTGTCTTTGTCATGCCGCAGTTGTGTTTTGATAACGAGGTCACGTAACAAGCGGCCGTAAACGCGCGCACCACAGTGGAAGTTCCCATAATGAATCACAAGATTGTTTTTATGAGCTCGCTGACTTTCAGTTATTAGCAGTTCCATATTTTTACAGCATGTTGACATCAGGCTCTGAGAGGGAAGTGCTTCGTAAGAGATCATGAATCACCGGAGATTGGCCAAGAAATCCGTGACGAGCACAGTCCGTACTGATGATTGTGTTAAAGCTCAAGTAAAACTGTGAAATAAGGTTTCAGTTTTAAATGGTTTGTTCGCCCGTTTGTCATGCATTGAAAATAGGTGAAGACAGACGCTCTGACCCCCAAAAATGCCAAAAAAAATCATCCATATTCCAAGTCTTCTGAATTCACACAATGCTTTTTCTGAGAAACCGACTGAAATTTAGTTATGTTGCTTACTAAAAATCATCCCCTTCATTGCATCTCTCATGTTTCAGCCTTCAAACGGAGCAGGTTTTCATGTGTCATATGGACTAATGTTTTGATACTTTATGGTGCTTTTTAAAAAAAATAATTTTTAGAGCATCCAACCCATTCACGTCCATTCCACGGAAAAGAGCGTCGTGAACTTTCTGCTAAACTTCTCAATTTGTGTTTGAAACACCAGCATCACACACTCATTTTTGGGTGAATTCACCATTTAAAAGCTGCATTGTACACATAAATTGTGAACGTTATGAGTTTCTAAGCAGGTTAGCGTGTGTTTGCGATCTGTCGGTTTGTGGCGAGCGCATGAATGCTGGCTTTGTGCGTCTCTGTGCAAATGTGGGTTATTGCCTGGTAACAATTTAACAAGCGCTCTGTGAAACGGCCCGTTTCCAGATGAGCTTACAGTAAAATAAACTGGTTTATCGAAGCTTCACGTTTGCTGTGGAGTCGAGTGAACGTGAGTGAAGAGATGCTGCGTGTGTCTTTGTGTTTATGTTAAGCGGCCGGGCTGCTGAGACCCATGAAAGCGTTCGGGGAGCATTCTTTCCCTTTCCTCGTCCTTTATGCTGCTATTGTGTAAGCTGACCGAAAGGCTTTGGCAGCTCGCTGGCGGTGTTATAAACTGGAGTTTGAAACTCTTGGCTCTCACTCACTGTGTGGTTGGAGTTCATTTCTTCTACATGTGTTTCACAATAGGATCTGTGATGTTTCTGTTGCCACAGACTTGGCCGACCTCGTAAACGGCCCGCGGCCGCGCTTCTCTTGCTAGTTTAGTTTGGTTTGGCCCGAAGCGCGAGGAGCGTCAGCTTGCAGCGAGCTCACATGACTAATTGATTGGCCCTCGAGGACGCTGTGTTGAATGGAGAGCTGTGGTTCTGCCCTTTTCTGGAGGGGTTTTTCTATTCACGCTTTTGCTTTTGAGAAGAGTTATGTTCAGAATGAGTTGGCAGCCGTGTGAGCTCTGGGAGCGTGTGTAACGTTAGAGCTCCTGGGTGTGTTCAGCAGCAGAAAGTTCACCCAAAACACACTCGGAAAGGACCGCGTTCCCTCTGCGTCTGCACGTAACGCTCCATGTTTTCATAGTGATAAACTTTCCTGGATCTCTGGGTCTTTCCCTCACCGCCGGTGCTGTGAAAAGAGCTTCACTGTGTGATTGTCTCGTCATGTTTTTGGGGCTGTGTGTCTCTCTGAAGCTCCGTCACTATAATTTGCACCAGGGGAAAGTCATTAGCGTGTCAGAAACCAGTCGTCTGCGGGAGAACGATGCCTGCGGCTCGCATACTTTCAGAGAGGAATCTAACGTGTTTTTCTCATGTGAATTCTGTCATAAAAATCCTAAAAATGGAATACGTTTTAATAAATAAGTCTTATTCCCATCTGTATGAGTTAGACATTGCTCTGTTTTGCAGCTTTTTGAACCATTAATGTTCACTAGGGCTGGGTTTTGACACAAATTTCACGATTGGATTCGATTCTCATTCACAAGCTTGCGATTTGATTCAATATCGATTATTTTGGATATATATCAGGTACAGTGCATGCCAAATTTTCTCAAGGAAAAAAAATCTCAACTAATGCTGTAAAAA